GTATTGGCATTGCAGTGTATATGGCAGATATCATTTATATTGAGAGCTCATGAAGGAACTTAATAATCCAATCAATTTTTTTCCCCCAGATATGACAACATGACAAACAAATACTATGCTCTAAGAGTCATGAGTCATGTGCATCAAGGAGCCTGCAGGCGCGAGTGGGAGGAGTTTGTTGCCCGTCCGTCAGCTGAGCAAAGCCTTGAAGTTGGTGCAATCCTGATGGCTCGCTGGTTCCAACCTCACGCTGACATTAGCATAAAACAGGTACTAATAAAAAGGATACTGGTAATTGTGTCCTTTCACTTTTTTATATATTTTTATTTATTTACATATTGATTAGAGATTTACACTGAAGAAAATATTCTGTGGATGCTAAGTGTAAAAGGGATATAGGCAAAGATTTTCCTCGACATTATCTTTAAATCATGAATATTATTTTCTTTGCCTTGTACTTTCTAGAATCATGATTAAATGATGATTTAATCCAATGCCACCAAGAAAATGCTCACTGTAGTTTTGTTTTGTGAAATGTCTCTACACATAAAGGGCTCAACAAGTGCTTAGCCATGAAGGAGTTAATTAGTAGACTTCGTGACCTGACCCAATTTCACCTTTCCTCTTTTTTGTTGTTGCTGTTGTTTTAGTTAATGGTGGTATGAAAATTGGTGCTGTTATTATTATTAGGCATTATGATTATTATTATGTTATTAACATTACTAATAGCGACATAGGATAGAAATATTTCCAAAAATCAAGGAAAAAGGTAAAGAGGTGAGATTGGTAGTGCAGTTAATTGACTCCATGGTGACTTAAGTACTTGTGGAGCCTTCTGAATGTAAAGACAATTGATAGACTAAATTCATATTGGGCATTGCATATATGTACATGTCAACCACAGTGGCTTTGAGTTGAATATGGGTTACAGCTTGGAAAAATAATGCCTTAAAACTGATACAATAGAGGCTTTTAAAGAAAATTATTACAGTATATGTATTTACTTTCCCTTGCAATGTAGATGACCAATGTGATTGATGATATAGCTGATCAGTGTCGCGAACAGCTTCGAATTAACCACCCTGATCATCCAGCCCTCTCTGTGCCCTTAACACCTCACAGAGAAGTCTTAACGGAATCACGCTGGTCTCATGAGAAGACAATGCAGCTGTTTAAGTGTATTAATCACATCCTTTATTATCAAGTAAGTCTAAAAAGAAGATAATGATGATAATGATAGATTTAGAAATTGACATATGGTTCTATTCTAAAAGCTGATATCCTCTTATTTTCAGAATTAGAGTAGAACTCTTCTTAGAACTTGACAAGTACAATTCTTTCTTCCATACTTCAAATTAGGAAAATCTCATCGAACATCCAAACTTCTTTTCAGCCTCCTATACCTCTTCTGTATTCTTTCATTTTCATATCACTTCACTTCCATATCTTGGAGCCACCTGCTTTTCTGTAATGATTTTGCCTTTATTATACCAAATACTTTTAGAATTAAACCATTTTGATTTTACTTTTCTTGTTATGGCTTTTAGAAACTTGATATTTTGTATATATATATGATTCGTTGTATTATCTTTAATATGTCGTCTTCCAGATGAAAATGACTGGTAACAGTGAAGATTACTATAATCTCAAGAATTCATTGATAAATGAAGTTCTCACTTCCAAGAAAGGTATACCAATCTCACTAAGCATTATATATATGGCTGTATGCCACCGCCTCGGCATATTGCTTGAACCTGTAAACTACCCATCACACTTTGTGATGAAATGGAAGATTCCCAGGTAGGCACTTTAGTTTCTGCTCACCCGTTTTAGTCTGACATGTGCTTATTGATTTATTAATTTCTTCATCTGAGTCTGGGGTCAAAAAGTGATTATCCGTCCAAATAGAAAAATTTCTGTTTCCCAACTTTGGCATCTACCTATTTCTTAACCTTGAGCTGATATCAAGATGAAAGGCATTCACCTGTAATTTCTTTTTTGTTGTTACAATTCTATGATTAAGCTTTTGTAAATGTGATGTTCTTTGTTAGCTCAGGAAACCTTCTTTCATGAAAGTAAAAAGAGGAAAATGTAGATGCAAAAGTTACTTTCTGTTTTCTTTTTTCACATTTTTATTCTATAATCTTTATATGAGAATGATAAGAAAACATGAAAGAGTTGATATTCATCAAGTTACTTGGTGTCTTCTTTATCCTTCACACATTATCTTTATAGTAACTGACCAAGGGATTATCAGGGAATCTGAAATGTGTTGATTGATTTAAGAAGATTTTTATTCTGATAACTCTTAGGTGTTGTACAAATTGACTTAACATTTCCTTCTATGGCTTTCAGTGTAGATGATTATGAATACATAGATGCATTCAACAAAGGAAGACGGCTAACAGGACGAGAATTGTTAAAGGAACTCCCTCTTGGATCTGTCTGCGACCAAGTACTTCTTATAACCTCTGATGCAATGTCAGTCTTCAACGTATGA